TTCAACTCTGGAGAGCGCGATCGTGCAGGACAAGCCGGAAAGGGTTTGTACCGTCGCAGTGGCATCATATTTCCACGCCGCGCCTCTGTCGAGCGTGGTTGTCGCGCGATGATGGTCGGGCGGGATGGCGGTTTCCAGGTCGTCTCCAGGTGTTGGTGCAGTTGCGTATTGCCAATGCGAGTGTAGAAGGTCGTTCAGTCATGAAGTCATAGTTTCGATGGCTTCCGTTGCAGATGCTACCAGGAAGCGTTCTTGACCATTCGTGTCTGGCGTTGAATCTGCTTCAAGGTCCTCCTCACCCTTTCTTCCCTTGCTCTTCGCGAAAGCCCGCAACCTCGCGGGATCCCCTGCCTCCGAAACACCCGCCCAGAGCAAACTTGCATGCCCCTCTGTGGTTCACTTCCTCATGCACCGATGCCTCCCGAGTCCCACTTCGCCCGCTCCTATTCTGTCTGTGCTCCCAGACCGGGCGAGGGGGCACAGTGAGATCTGGGCGTTGCAGTTTCTTGCACCGGGCGTTTTCTCCAGGTTTCGGGGCCGGGGACCCTCACAGATTGATCCGGCTCGAAAAATGGAAAGAGCGCCAGTGGACCACCTCGTAATTGAAACGGGGAGGTGCTCCCAGAACCCCCCCTCCGCCCTCCCTCCCTTCAAAGGGGTGACATTTTCGGACCCCCCCCCTGGCGCTTGAGACGGGGGAGGGGGCGATGTCAGACCCCCCCTCTCCCCCCCTTTGGCATGGACCTTAGGGTAAGGGTTAGGGATTAGGGTCAGGGTTAGGGGTTAGGGTAGGGTTTAGGGGTCAGGGTTAGTTCTTAGGGTTAGGGTCAGGGATTAGGGTTATGGTTAGGGGCAGCGTGAGGGGTAGGGTTCGGGTTTACAGTAGGAGTTAGGGTTAGGGGTAGGGTGAGGGTATTCGGGGTTAGGGGTTAGGATTGAGGTACGGATTAGGGTAGGGGTTAGGGTTAGGGGTGAGGGGTTAGGGTGAGGGTTTAGGGTCGGGGTAAGGGTTAGGGTTAAAGGGGTAGGGTAGGGGTTAAGGGTAAGCGTGAGGGTTAGGGTAGGAGTTAGAGTTGGGATTGGGGCTCAGGGTTAGGGTTTAGGCTTAAGGTTAGGGGTTCGGGTTAGGGTTAGGGGTCAGGGGTGAGGGTTTAGGGTTGAGGTTAGGTTAGGGTAGGGGTTAGGATTAGGATTAGGTCTGGGTTAGGGCTTAGGGTAGGGGTTAGGGTTAATGGTTAGGGCGGGGCTTAGGGTAGAGGTTAGGGTTAGGGTAGGGGTTAGGGTAGGGTTGAGGGGTTAGGGTTAGGGCTTAGGGCTAATATTAGGGACTAGGGTTACGGTTAGGGGTTAGGGTATTTTTTAGGGGTTAGGGTTAGGGCACAGGGTTGGGGTTAAGGATTAGGGTCAGGGTTAGGGGTGGGGGTAGGGGTTAGGGGTTAGGTTAGGGGTAGGGCTTAGGGTAGGGGTTAGGGTTAAGGTTAGGGGTTAGGGTAGTGGTTAGGGCAGGGCTGGGGGTTAGGGTTTAGGGGGTTGGATTAGGGCTTAGGGTAAAGGGTAGGGGTTAGGGTTAGGATTAGGTCTTAGGGTTAGGGTCAGGGATTAGCGTTAGGGTTAGGGGCCAGGGTTAGGGGTAAGGGTTAGGGCTCGGGTTAGGGGTAGCGGTCAGGGTTAGGGTTAGGGTAGGGGTTAGGGTTAGGCTCGTGGGTTAGGGTAGGGGGTTCGGTTGGGGTGAAGGTTTCGGGTTAGGGCTTAGGGTAAGGGTTTGTGTAGCGGTTAAGGTTAGGCGTAGGGTAGGGGTTCGGGTTAGGAGTGGGGGGGTGGGTTAAGGGTTAGGAGTTAGGGCAGGGATTTGGGTAAGGGTTAGGTGTGGTAGGGATCTGGTTCCGGAGCCAGGGGGCGGCGTGGCGAAAGGGGAGGAGGGGGGGGGTCCGAATTTCACGCTCAAAGGGGGGGGGGTCCGGACCCATTCCCCCTTTGAAAAGGGGAAGGGGGGAGGGGTCCGCCGGCGACGGATCAGGAAAGGGGAGAGGGGGGTGGGTCCACCGACGAGACGATGGAGTGGGAAATGGAGGGGGGGGAGGAGAGGTCCGCCGACGACGGATCGGGGAAAGGGGGGGGGAGGGTTCCCGGACCCCCCCCCTTTGGGTGATCCAGCGGCGCTCCCTCCAAACCGCAGCAAGATGGGGTCTAGGGCTCCTCAGAAGGGAAGCGAGGACCGCTGCCACCGAAAACCCATCGGGGGGGTTCCGACTCCCGGGCGGTGGCACGGCTGAGCGTCGTCCTGCGCTGGGTGACGCTCGGCAGCGCTTAGGAGTCGGCCCCCTGCCGATGTTTCTCGGTGGCGGTGGTCCCTGTTTCTCCTCTGGGCTCTGGCCATGATTGTTCGCTGTGTTGCAATTTTTCGCAGGGCTGGCCTTGAGGAGTCGTCTTGTCCTGCGGCGGGCTGCGCAGGGTTGCGCAGGGATGCGCCCGGCCCAGCTCCTTGGAGCGCGCTCGCCGCTCCCGCGTCAACAGCGGAGAAGCGGGCCCAGTTCTGTGATAGACCAGAAGCTGCCAGGAAGCCGGCCCAGATCCCTGAGATTCTGATTTTCTTGATTGCATTCTCGGCTGTATGTTCAAGTAGTTTTCTCTTGCTATGTCTATGTGTTTCCGACCAGGCGTAGCTCTCGGCTCCAGGGGATGGGAGCTCTCTCGCCTGGGAGTGCCCCCCCCGTCGTGGCTGCTTCAGATTCTGGCAAGTTCACTTGCATGGCAGTGTGCCCCCCCACCCCCACCCCCACCCCACCCCCCCTCCCCTCACCTGCCCTCGCCTGCTTTTCGAACAGCGCCGGGCCGAAAAGGCGTGCAAGTGAGTCCCGACTTGCGTGAAGTCCAGATTTCGTTTCGGGCCTCACCGCGGCCCCCCCCACCCCTCCCCACTCCAGGCAAGCAAGCTTGCCAGAGTCTCAAGAAAAACAGCCTCTTGGAGCGCCCCTCCGTCGTGGCTGCGCTCGCGCCTGCCAGGAAGCTGGATGCGCGTGACGCGGTGGCGAGCGAAGGGGGGACGTCGGAGGAGGAAAAGGTACTTACCCATACCGCTACCCTTTCGGCTTTTGGGGCATCCTGAGCGGACCCCGTCGCCACCGCTGGATTCGCCTCGAAATATTGGTCAGAACGCACCCCGGGAGAGGTCCAGGGAGTATCCCTACCTTTAGGTTCCCCTGTTGTCAGCGGCGAGCGAGGGGGGGATTTGAGAAGGAGAAGGCTCTCTCAGAAGGCGGCGGGGCTTCTCAGAAGCCCTCGGGCCTCCTGAGAGGTTGTCTGCGTCTTCGGGAAAATCTCATACGATTTCTCAGGAGGCTGGGGGGCTTCCGAGCCTTCTGAGAAGACCCGCCTCTTCTCACTTTCCCCCCGCCAGGCTCGCCTCCGAGTGACGCGACGGGCTGGGGCAAGGGCTGGCTGCATGCGTTTCCAGCGATCTGCCCTTCTCGGCCACGCGCAGAGGGGGAGTAGGGCAAGCTAGGTGCGCTCGCGCCTCATCTGACATCCTATCCCTCCCTCTCATCCCTTCCCATGGCGCTGAGTTTTCTCTATCCGCGGACGCTTGTCATAGCCGATCGGCGACTCACACAGGAAGACCACTCCATGTCGTGCGGGGAACAGGCTTCTTAGAAGTACCCCTGCTTCTTAGAAGGCGCGGGCCTTGTCTGTAGATGTACGGCCGGCGCCGTCTAAGAAGCAGCCTCCTTGTGAGAAGCATTTCCCCTCCCCCTACCCCCCCTTGTGCGCGCAGACAACCTTCTCTGGCCGGGTGCGCCAGCCATCCGCATGTGCATCCAGCGCGCGGCCGCTTGACGGGCCACGCGCGAGTCCGGCCACGTGTGTGTGTTCCCAGTTCCGTTGGAGTCCTCCTCCTCCTCCTGGCTGGCTCCCGAGCGCTCTTTCTCTTGGTTGTTTTATTGGTCGCCGTCCTCCTCCTCCTCCTCCTCCTCCTCCTCCTCCTCCTCCTCCTCCTCCTCCTCCCCCTCCTCCTCCTCCTCCTCCATCTGTCCGGCTGGGCGCGAGGGTTAAGGACAACGGCAGCTTTGGGGGGTGGGGTCCCCTCTGTTCTTCACGTTTCGGGGTGTCTATCTTGGAATGTGTTTTGTTCTGGCTATCTCCGTGACGTACTGGTCCCCCAGCGGGGGGGATCGTATTCTTGAGCCACATGATTGACAGGCTCGGCCGTATCAATGTCAATTCGAGCTGTTGTGGATCAAGTGTGATTTGTGATTTGTATTCAGGACGTGCGCTTGCTAAAGATAGCATTCCATCCAGCTGGCATGCCGACCGCGCGTGCGCTTTTCTTCCCGATCCTCTTCCAGCTGGCGACCGCGGCACGCCCGTCGAAAAGTGCAGCACTGCTTGAAGGTCAAGTTGGTGCGAATGGCAAGATCATGGAAGGCCGGCAGGGCGCCAAATCCGTCGCCAAACTGAACACTTCGAGCGCTGATGTTGATGGAGTCTGCTGCCTCTGCAGTGTCTTTGCCTCCTATCTGGGCGACGGCAAGATCTACACTCCCGAGGTTAGGGACAAGACTTACGGAGCCAGGGGGGCTCCAAAGACAGTCATCCAAGATGGAACGCTCAGCGTGTGGGTCGGAGCACAGACCGTGCCCTTGTTCTGCCTCGTGGAGGTCGAGGCCAAGTACGATCTTGGCCCCATGGGGGCCTGGGGTCGAAAATGCGCAGATTACTGCCCTGAGAAGGGCGACGTCAAGTACAGATACGTGATCGGGTATCATGCCGACGACGAGAAGGGCGTTCACCACGTCAAGGGAGCATGCGAAGGATCACGCGACTCGAGGCTGTTCTATCAGCACGCGGTGGAGAAGTACGACATTGGCTCAACAAGCGACAGCCGAACGGTGGGCGTCGGCCATGTGCTGGACAGCTCGAGCGCCTTCATGCGCCGGTATGGCTTGCAGAATGTTCCTTATCGGCTTCCCAAGTGCTCCACGATCGAGCGCAAGTTGTGGTAGATCGACCACTCTGACGTCGGCAGGGCACGACGCCGAGGCGCTGTGGCTCAGAATTTGCCTGATGAGCAGCGGCACCTGCACTACGAGCAGCCCCCCCCTCAATATGACCGAAGTCGTGCAAATTTTGCCTGGTGAAAAACACAACCATCTGCAGTTGTGGGCACCGTCGTTGTATGCACCGCATTCGGTGGAGCTCTTTCTGGGGCTACCAAACGTGTGAGGGGTGTGCCAAAATGGGTGCGGCGGGCGCACGCGAACGCTGGCATGTGGGCCTTCGGTGGGGCTCCCTATGGGGTCACGAAACGTGTGATAGGAGTGCCAACATGTGTGCGGTGGGCGCATGCGAACGCTGGCATTTGGGCCTTCGATGGGGCTCACTATGGGGCCACGAAGCTTGTGAGGGGCGTGCCAAAATGGGCGCGCTGGGCGCATGCGAATGCTGGCATTTAGGCCTTCGGTGGGGCTCTCTTTGGGGCCACGGAGCGTGTGGTGGGCGTGCCAAAATGGGTGCGATGGGCGCGTGCGAACGCTAGCATTTGGGCCTTCGGTGGGGCCCCCCGTAGGGCCACGAAATGTGTGAAGGGTGTGCCAACATGGGCGCGGTGGGCGCATGCGAACGCTGGCATTTGGGCCTTCGGTGGGGCTCCCTGTAGGGCCACGAAACGTGTAACGGGCGTGCCGAAATGGGTACGGTGGGCGCATGCGCACGCTGGCATTTGGGCTTTCGGTGGGGCTCCCTATTGGGCCACGCAAAGTATGAGGGGTGTGCCAATCTGGGCGCGGTGGGCGCATGCGAACGCTGGCATTTGGGCCTTCGGTGGGGCTTCCTATGTGGCCCTGAAGCGTTCGAGGGGCGCGCCACCATGGTTGGGGTGGGCGCATGCCAACGCTGGCATTTGGGTTTTCGGTGGGGCTCCTTGTGGGGCTACGAAACATTTGAAGGGGCGCGCCAAAATGGGTGCGGTGGGCGCATGCGAACGCTGGCATTAGGGCCTTCGCTGGGTTCCCTTATGGGGCAACGACGCGTGTAACGGGCGTGCCAATCTGGGCGCGGTGGGCGCATGCGAACGCTGGCATTTGGGCCTTCGGTGGGGCTTCCTATGGGGCCACGAGGCGTGTGAGGGGTGTGCCACAATGGGCGCGGTGGGCGCATGCGAACGCTGGCATTTGTGCCTTCGATGGGGCTCCTTTTGGGGCAACGAAGCTTGTGAGGGGCGTGCCAAAATTGGCGCGCTGCGCGCATGCGAACGCTGGCATTTGGGGCTTCGGTGGGGCGCCCTATGGGGCCGCGAAACGTGTGAGGGGTGTGCCAAAATGGGTGCGCTGGGCGCATGCGTACGCTGGCATTTGGGCGTTCGGTGGGGCTCCCATGGATGGGGCCAGGAAAACTGTGAGGGGCATGCCGAAACAATGACATGCGGAGGGCATAGGCCAGGAGGGGAAAGAGGAAGGAGGGGGAGGAGGAGGAGGAGGAGGAGGAGGAGGAGGAGGAGGAGGAGGAGGAGGAGGAGGAGGAGGAGGAGGAGGAGGAGGAGGAGGAGGAGGAGGAGGAGGAGGAGGAGGAAGAGGAGGAGGAGGAGGAGGAGGAGGAGGAGGAGGAGGAGGAGGAGGAGGAGGAGGAGGAGGAGGAGGAGGAGGAGGAGGAGGAGGAGAGGAGAGGAGAGGAGAGGAGAGGCGAGGAGAGGAGAGGAACGCGGGGACCGTCTCTTCAACACGAGGACCCAACACCACAGGATGGTTGGGAAATAGCGGCCTCGTGAAAAGACCACCGATGAAGATTCTGACTGCATCTTTATACTCGGGGTTTCGATCTCAGGCGACACAACAGGGCTCCAGGAGCGCCCCCAACGGGGCTCCCGAGACCCCCCCCAAAGAGGGGGCCTAGAGGCCCCCCCCCTGACACCCTGAGGGGCTTCAAATCTGCACAGAGGGCTGGCAAAAAAACGCAGACACGAGAGAAACAGACAGGGGGACAGGCCACAGGAGAGGCCCACAGAGTCGCCAAAAAATGCTTCGCGCGCAGAAATCAGTGCTTCCCCAGCAGCACGCGCAGTAAGCTGCACCAGGCAGCAGGAGGCAGCCGCAAACGGCAGCAAGTGGCGGCCGCAGCAGCAGACGATTCGAGCTGCGGCGCTTCCCGGAGTACCCGAAATGAACTGCCTACGTGTATCGGGGCATCCTTCGGGGGTGGATGTGGACCCGTTCCGGTCCCATTCTTGTTCTGGCCCACCGCGCTTCGGCGCGACACGCTGACCACGTCTCAGTCCCCGAGCGTTAACGTCCCGAGCTTTTCCCATCCTCCGCCACGCGGAGCGGAGCGACACACCATCCGCTTGCAAGGCACAGCGTGTCGCCGGGACCGTTCCGTATTGCTTTAACGAGTTTATAGAAGAGCTAAGCTGCTTCTAAAGCCACGTTGTCGCAGCTTGATGCCCCTCCCAACGGAGCTGGCGGATAGTTTCATTTAACTGCCTGAGTAAGGCTCCCTCCCAGACCTGACGGATTTCATGGTCAAACCACTGGTGGCAAAAACATCCTCCTCCCTGATTTAGGGTTGAAAAGTCGGTGTGTGTCTGTGCGCTCATCGAGGAACCGCTGCAGACTCTGCCAGGGTACCGAGGGCGCTTCTTCCTCGGTCTCTGCGTAACGGGCCTGCAGCGGGAGCCCCCCCAGGGCTGCCAGCGCCCCTGGGTCCGTGGAAGTCCTGGGGTTTCGGAGTTTGGCCGCTCATTGACGGCAGCGGCGACGAGGTCGTTGTGGTCGATTCTGAAGTGTTTGGGCGTTTCTGGAGGCTCTCGTCGCCACGGCTGGGCGCAGCTCGGCAAAAATGACCAGGACGGACCAGAGGTGGGGTCTGGGGGCGAATCTTGGGAGGAATTTCGTTTGGGGCACACGCCGTTCGTTGAATGCATTCCTTGGGCTCCCAGATCCCAGTCTACTTATTGAGGCGCCATCTTGATTCAACCATCGAGTTGTGCTTGCTTTTGTCTTCCCTCTTTTAGGGGTGGGTTGGAATCTGGTCCGGTTCAATCGCCGACCTATCACATATTTATGCTCGCTTCTTTCGCAATCATCTCTCCGGTGTATTTTTGTTGAACGTGCGGACCACATAGATACTTACGCAGGACGAAAGATTTCCCTCTTGAGGTGAAAATGGCCATGAGGAGTTCGCGAGACAATGTCGGCGCCGGAACGGACGGCCACCAGACGAACTCTTTGCAGCAACCGGGGTAACTGGGATGTATGTATTCATTTTGAATGGGGCCCGCTCGCGCGGGGAGCTGATGGGAGTGCGCGAGACGACGCAGCGCCCATCGTGGAAAGTTAATTACCGAACCCCCCATCCCCCGTAGAATCTTAAAACGGGCGGTTTGCGGGGTCCGCGGATCCGATTTCTTCCGGTTCCCTGTTTTTATTTAATAATATAAATTTTAAACAGGGTAGAAATCGGATCCGCCGTGAAAAATAAGACCGAACACGGATCCAGCAAATCCGAAATCGGATCCGCGCGGACAGAAATCGGATCCACCGAAACACACACCAAAACCAACATCGGATCCGCGCGAACTTCATTGGATCCGACGGCGGGTATCTCACACGGGTCTGCTCAAGACTTCAAACCTTCGCTCTGGGCCCAAGAGGAAAAAACTTTCGTCCTGGGGATGTATTCACATGTTCCCAGGGACGGGCTTTCTGACCCGGACATGTTTGTTATGCTGCGGGCACCGAAGGCCTGCACACGCCAAAATCTACGAGACACGCACGCATTTATTGTCATTCAAGGTTTTCGGTGGAGCATGGGAATGGCTCGTGTCGCAACAAGAAGCTGAAGTCGAGGCGAAGCGTAGTCCACACATTGTCCCAACCAGGGCAACCTTTGAAGCGGAGCTAGGCGAGAGATGGTTTGGTTATTACGGATATTGTTTAAGTTCTGCGCCACACCGACGTACCAATATTGTGTGTGCGTCGCCCCCATTGGCGACGTGCGCGCAGAGAAATCTTGTAGTATAAGCTTTGGTGCGGGCGTTGTCTGGCCATACCGCACGGGTGACGATCTATATCAAGATGGTTGTACGAAGTGTCCGGGTCGGGCGGATGCCTTCAAGGAGGACGCGTAGCATTCGCATTAGTACGAGTACAAGTACTAGTACAAGTACTAGTACGAGTACGAGTGCGAGTACGAGCACTAGTACTAACATTCGTATTCGTACGAGTACGAGGACTAGTACTAGTACGAGTAATCGTACTAGTGCTCGTACTAGTCCTAGAACTAGTACTAGTACGGGTACTCTCGTCAGAGTTAGGGGGCCGAACGGTCAGTCATTGTCCCTGAGTGCGTGACTGAAGCGCGGATCGGTGGTGAGGATTCTGCTTGTTGTTGTTGTTGTTAAAAACTCTTTCCTGAAGAATAATTATGGTTGATCTCCAGAAACGGTTCCGCGCGCTCTCGCCTCGACGCCGGCTACATTTTCTCTGAAAACGAGGCTCCCGCTCGAGCGTTGGCTTGACCCTAAATGTGGGCCCTTGGAGGCCCAGCTACGACAACAACTGCTCCCGCTCGACACTTCCTCACAATTTACCCCGAGACACGCTGGCCAGAGAGACCCCCGAACTCGGGAACGGCGCTCTATCTCTCGAGATCGCCTCGCAATTCAATTAATTTGGCGTAGGCCCAGCCACGACAACAAGGGCTCCTGTTCAATACTTCCTCACGATTTACTCCGAGAGCCCCTGGCCAAGAAGGCCTCCGAACTCAGGAACGGCGCTCTCGCTCGATACTTTCCCGTAATTCAAGCAAGTTGGTGGAGGCCCGGACACGGCGACAAGGGCTCCCGTTCGATATTTCTCCATCGGTATTCCGACAGCCCTTGGCCAGAAAGGCCCCCGAACTCAGGAACGGCGCTCTCGCTCGAGATTTCTTCGCACTTAAGTCAGTGGCCAACAAGGAAGATTTTCCTCCCGAAAGGGGGTGCAATCGAAGACGACGTGGGCGGGTATCG